GTTGATTGTCTATCCATTATTTTCCTACTCCTCCCTCCCTCACTCCCCTCCATCCTATTTTATAAGTGATTTTCTGCAATATTCTTTTATGACTGAGATATTTCATGCAGCATAATGTCTTCCAAGACTGTAAAATTCTTCAGAAAACACCACAAGATAAAGGTAAATAATCCAATCAAGCAATGGGCACAGGATATGAACAGACACTTCACCAAAAAAGACATTCAGATGGCTAACAAGCACATGAAGAAATGTTCAAAATCCCTAACTCTAAGAGAGATGCAGATTAAAACAACTATGAGATATCATCTCACCCCAATCAGAATAGCACAATTTAACAGAACAGCAAGCAAGAAATGCTGGCGAGGTTGTGGAGGAACTGGAACCCTTATTCACTATTGCTGACAGTGTAAAATGGTGCAACCCCTGTGGAAGGCGGTATGGTGCTTTCTCAAAAAGTTGCAAATAGAGATACCATTTGACCCAGCAATTCCACTACTGGGAATACACCCCACAGAGACCGTAATTGACATCCAAGCAGATATATTCACACCCATGTTTATTGCAACTTTGTTCACAATAGCCAGGAGTTGGAAACAACCTAAGTGCCCATCAACAAACAAATGGATAGAGAAGCTGTTGTATATACTACGCTGTAAAAAACAAGGAACTCATGCAGTATTATTCAAAATCGGTGACTCTGGAAGACATTATGCTGAGTGAAGTATCTCTGTTACAAAAGGACAAATACTGCATGGTGCCATTGTTGTAAAACAGGACTGACATCGGGGTTGGGGTGAGAAAGATGGGTTCAGTAATGTATACTGCATTGAAACAGATGAGAGAGAAAACTGTTTAAAAGGGATATGTGATTAGGCATTTTTGTCATGACACGAGTCCAGAGCAAAGGCTGCATAGTGGAGTGGACCTGGGGGGGAGGGATTGTGAAACAATGAAAGAATTTTTCTTTTACTTTTCCAAGAGGGTAGTGTACTATGGGGGAGGGTTGGGAGGGGAGAAAAGTACAACAGTGAATGAATGGAAACCCAAAGTCTCTGTAAATTTTCATTGAAATTAATAATAAATTTTAAAAAAGAAATTAAAAAAATTCGTCAGAAAAAAAACTAGGGACAACTTTAGAAGCCTTAATCTGTGGCATTAATAATCCTCAAAGTATAACAAAAAACCTACAACCAGGAAAGGATGAAAGAGATGAGTGGGACTTTTGTAAAAATCAAGACTTTAGTTAAATAAAAAACCTTTTCAAAAAAGGAAGCCCACAGACTGGGGAAAATATTTGGCAATGACATCTCTGATAAGGAACTCACAGCTAAAATTTGTAGAATACTCTAGAACCTAAACAAGAAAAAGGCAAACAACCCGTTCCCAAAATGGACACAAGATATGAATAGCCACTTCATCAGAGAAGAAAGTCAGATGACAAACAAACACATGAAGAAATATTTGAAATTCCTAGTTAGAGATGCAAATCAAAACAACAATGAGATCTCACCCCAGTAACAGTAGTCTGCTAATGGGGCAGCAAACAACAGATGCGAAACTTTTCCTGCTGCAGGAGGTCAAGGACTGCAGCCTTCAATATGGATTGAAGCTCAGCATCAAGAAAATAGAGATTCTCACCTGGGCCAATTAGCAGCATCGTGATACACAAGAAGAGACTGAGGTTTTTAACAGTTTCAGTTTGCTTAGATCCATAATGTACACTCTTAGTACCAGTAGCCAGGAACTCAAAAGACGAATTGCATTGGGAGAATCTGCTGTTCAGGCCTCTCCAGAGTACTGAAGAACTGTGATGCCATTCTAGAGACTAAGGTGCACCTGATACAGGCCATGGTCTTTGCCGTTAACCACTATGCATCAGAGAGCTGGACAGTGACTAAGGATGGTGAAAAATCAATGCCTTTGAGTAGTGATACTGGAGAAGAGTATTGAATATACCATGGACTGCTAAAAGAACAAACAAGTTCGTCGGAGATGGTGAAACCAGGTTGCTTGTTGGAGGCAAGGATTTTGAAGCTCTGTCTAACATACTTTGGCCATGTTGCCCAGAGGGACCAGTCCTTGGAGAGGGACATCATAGTTGGAAGCGTGGAGGGACAGTGCAGGATGAGATGGCTTGACAGTAACTGGGATAATGGGGGTAGGTGTGTTGGAGATAGTGAAATTGCCTCAAGATAGAGCAGAGTTCAGAGCTGTTGTACATAAATAAGGTCTCATGAGTGACCTTATGAGTCGCAGGCGACTCGATGGCACATAACAAGAGCAACAGCGTGGAGCGCTAGAGGCCTAGTGGTAAGGAGTTCTGTGCTGCCAACAAAGAGACACGTGGTTTGAATTCATTAACTGCTCTGCAGTATAGGTCAGTCCCCTCCCACATGATTTACAGCCATGAAAACCCACTGGAGGGTCAGCTAGGAGTTGGTTCTGACTCAACGGGACAGAACAACAATCCCTGGTGCCTAGGGATAAGGAGTGCACTGCCAACCCAGCACACAACCTAGCCACACAGTTCAAATCAGTTAGCTGCTCCACAGGAGAAAGATGGGCAGTGTTCTCTCATGAAACGCCACTAGAGGATCAACTATGAGTCAGTTTCCACTCAGTGGTACACAACAACAGCCCATCAAGAGTTGTGCTGCTAACCCAAAGGCTGAACCTGGAAGTTCACATTCGCTAGTGGCTCAAAGAGAAAAAGATGGGCAGGCTCTTCCCATGCCGTTTCTACAGTCTTAGAAACCTAGTGGAAGTCAACTCTACATCACTTGTGACTTGAGGGTGGTGAATTTTCTTAATTTCTATTCTTTGAGCCACATGCAGTGCTGTTTTCTAAAGGCTTAAGGAGATACGGTGCCATCACACTGAGAACTATGTGCTTTCTTGTTTTCTAGAATTTTTTAAGTAGTAGCCAGTAGAGTACAGAAGCAAATATGAGAATTTAGCTGGTTTCTGTTAAGCTACTTGTAAACAGACTTGAAGAAATGTAAACTTGTGCCATCTCTAAAATATTTCGTTTAGAAAATAATTACTTTTCACTTTAAAAAAAAATTTTATTATTTTTTGTGCATGTACCATCAAATCAGATCTGACAAGTACAGGAGGAAATTGTACCACATTTGAACCGTGTACCTCTGGGATTGCAGTACAGCTTCTTGCCACTAGGCCACCAGAGCTCCCCTGCTTTCCACTTTTTATTGTTACTATATATTGAATTTGTTTAATTTTTAAATTAGACACTAGACAGATGTTGATGCCTAATTTAGGGAAGCCAAGAAAACTCCTTGCTGCCAGGTTAGAATTAATTCATAGCTGACCCTATATTGGGTTTCAGAGACTGTGGGAATTGCACAAAAGGAGATTGCTCATCCTTTCCATCGGCATCCCTAGTGAATTTGAACTGCCTCAGAGGCTCAACCTTTGATTTAGCAGAACAGTTCCATATAGACAAGGCCTCCAGGGCCCACAGTGCCCACCATATTTTAAAATACCATTTTGTGACCTTACCATTAGTATCAGTACCATGTTTTCCTCTATATTACCTTTATTATCTTCAATGTGACTTGCTTTGACTTTGGACTTCTCTGGCATTCACTATAATAGACGCTTCGGTGGCTTCAATCCAATATGCCAGAATTTTTGTCCCTGTGATCTCAAGAGAAAGGCATTTGCACTTGAGTCTTGTAAGAGATAGAAAGAAGCATAAATGGTCCTTGCTTATCTGGCTTGGTAAGATTCGTCTCAGTGTCTGGTACTTGCAGCATCCATACAGTGAATGTTCATGTCCTCATTCGTGAATGACTCTTTGAATCTCTAGAGAAATTCTCAGGGCTTGAAAAACTGAGCTGCACTGCCAACCTGAAGACACACATTTTGAGTCTACCAGCTTCTCATTAGGAGAAAGATGGGCATTCTCCTCCCATGCAGTTTACAGCTTCTAAAAACACATTGGAGTTTCAGCTGCAAGTCAGTTCTGTTTCAACAGCACATAACAAATTTAACCAAGATAACGACAATGCTGCAGTATCTCAGAAACTTAAGTATACTTAACTAGTAATTTTTCTGTATTTCTTTAAAACTTATTATGTAATTTAACATATTTGTTGCTGTTATGTGCCGTTGAGTCGTTCTTTCATTTAATCCTAATGATATCCTTGAGTTAGATCTTATCTCCAGTTACAGATGACTAGCTGGCTTGCTCAAGAATATTAATATGAAATGGACTCAAATTCAGGTGTTCTAACTACTAGTACTGTTTCTACACAAGGTATTTCTTAAGGATTCAAAGTACTTGAGAAACTATTACACTAGTAAGATATTTTGGAATATGGCCATCATAAACTCTCCATGTTTAATACAAATCACTAGAAGAAATAAGAATTTTCCTTGTGATTATTGATGGTGCATATTTTGTGAAAGCTTGACTTCAAGTTTGAATACATATTGTCTAAAAGCAAATTTCAAATTCTAAGGGCCTTTCAAATGTTTCTTTGTTTTTAAGGACTGACTATATATTGTATATATATCTTCTCTGACCATAATAGTAGGGATATGTTCTGAACATAGAACCAATATCTAAAGAAGTTGTTGTTGTTGTATACCATTGAGTGGAAACCGACCCAGAGTTGACCTTCCAGCAGGTTTTCAGAGGCAATAAATCACATGGGAAGGAGATTGCCTGTCTTTCTCTTGAAGAGCAGATGGTGGAGTCAAACTACCTATCTTTGTGTTGGCAACACAATTCCTTACCACTAAACTACCAGAGCTCCGTATATATCTTAGGTAAATGAAAATAATGTGTAGGCCAAAGAGTAATTTCTGAAAGCAGAGTTGAACTGTGTGAGAGATTTACCCACACATGTTGATTCAAGTTCGGAAGCAAGCTAGCAACAATACTGGTACAGAGAACTTTGACCATCTGTCATGAGTCTAAATTAATTGTTACTGATTGATTTATTTACTTTTTTTCTCATCTCTCCCCATAGGTTTGTAAAAGAATGGACTTAGTTTGCCAGAGAATGTTAAATCAAGGATTTCTGAAAGTGGAGAGGTACCATAATCTGTGTCAGAAACAAGTTAAAGCACAACTCCCAAGGTATGTCATAGTGAGAAATGGCAGTAATTTTATAATTGAGAAGGGGGGTGTTTTGGTTTCTTGTAGTTGTAGTATTTATTTATATGTATGAGATCATAAGCCACTTGGGAAAAGCCAATCTTGGTTGGTGCTGACACCCAATCACACTGGAGGCTAATGAGTGGGCCAACAGACCAGGAGGGACCAGCCAGGGACACCGTGTTGGCTGAGCGTCAGGAGGCATGATGTGCTCTGTCCTGGCCGGGGAGGCAGCCTAAAGCAAAGATGTATTCCTGCATGGAACATGGAATCTCCATGCCAGGAGCCTTCCTAGACCATTTCCATGCATCTCTTCACTTGTCTACCCTTTGGTTACAGTAAATCTGTTAAGTATGATATGTTGTTATTAGGTGTTGTCATGATGACTATAACTCACAGAAACCCTGGGAAGAACTCATGGAAACCCTACCCTATCTTGCACCATCCTCATGATCTCCTGTATAGTTATAGCTGTTATTGTAGTCACTCTTGTCAGTCCATCTTCTGATGAGCTCCCTCTGCAACCCTTAGCCTTTCCCAGAAGAACGTCTTTTTCCCACTGCCACAGACTGGCCTCTCATGTCAACATGCCGATAGTATGTGAGATGAAGTTTCACTCTCGTTACCTCAAAGGAGTATCCTGGTTGTACTTCATTCAAGACAGACATGTTTATTCTTTTTGCTGTCTCTGATATATTCAGACCTCTTCTCCAACACCACAACTCAAAGGCATCAATTCTTCTGTTACTCATATTCACTGCCTGACTTTCAAATGCTTAAGAAGCAATTGAAAAGACTGTGGCTTGGATCAGGCTCACCTTATTCTTTAAACTGACATCTTTGGCACTTTAAAGAGGTCCTTGGTTCTCCCAGTGCAAGTAAAATGAAATCATTAACACCTTTTCTCCATCTCTTATGATGTTGCCTGTTCCAGTGGTGAGGATCCTTCTCCATCCCCTTGATAGTAAGATGTAATCCATATTGAAGATTGTGATATGTGATCTTCTTCAGTGAGAGCTTCTCATAGTCTTCACTTTCTGCAAGCAAAGTGGTTGATTAGTCTTCCTCCAATCCTGATCTCTCATTCCTCATACAGTCCAGCTTCTGCTGAGCATACAAGTTGACTAGATTTAGAGAAACCCTGATGCACATCTTGCCTGCCAGTAAACCAGACCATGTACCCTTCTGTTCAGCAGCTGCTTTTTGGTATATTTGTAGGTTTCTCCTGAGCACAGGCAATGTTCTGGGATTTCCATTCATTCCATTCCATGTTTTCTGATTTTTATGAGTCACACCATCATATTTCAACTTTGTGATATTCTCTGCTTTCAGCCAAGATTCATCTCACATCAGCAGTCAGCAGTTATATCCCTAATTCTATGGCCTCTTCTGTGTCTAGTTGAGTTTCTGATAGTGTACTGTTCTACTAATGTTTTAATCTTCAGCAACATTTTACTTAAATATGATACTAATTATATTCTTCAATAATGGATCACTCACCTTTGTTTGGAATGGGAATAGATACGGATCTCTTCTAGTCAGTTGGTCAGGTGTTGTCTTCCCCATTTCTTGGCATAAGCTAGTCAGAACATTCAGGGCTGCATCTTTTTGTTGAAACACCTCCTCTGGTATTCCATCAGTTCTGGAACTTTTTTAACCAATGCCTTCAGTGCAGCTTGAACTTCTTCCTTCATTACCATTGGTTCTATGCTACTTCAATGTATACCAATTCATTTTGGTACAGTGACTTGGTTTATTCCTTCCATTGTCTTTTAATGCTTTTTTGCATCATTCAGAATTTTCCTAACATCCTTCAGTTACTATATAGCTTGAGGCTTGAATTGAGTTTTTAATTCTTTCAGCTTAAAAAAATGCTGAGGCCATGTTCTCCTCTTTTGATTTTCTAACTCCAGGTCTTTGAGCATTTCATTATAATACTTTGATTTGTCTTCTTTAGCTGCCTTTTGAAATCCATTCAGGACTGTTTCCTCTGCATTTATTTCCTTTCTTTTGGCTGTTTCCATTCCTTCGCAAGTTTCAGAGTCTCTTCTGACATCCATTTTGGTCTTTTCTTTCTTCCTTGTCTTTGTAATGCTTTCTTCACTTATGGTATCTTTGACAACATCCCATAATCCCTCTGGTCTTTGGTCATTAATGTTCGCTGCATCAAATCTGTTCTTTACATATACTGATAGATTTACAAAGTTCAAATGCATTGGTTTTCACCCAAGATCCTTCCCATTTCCTTCATCCTCCTGTCAAATTGCGCAATCTTATGATTACCCCCCCACCCCCACCCCCCTTTCCTCAAACCTCTGTTTTCACCCTTTTCTTGAGAAGGTTTTTAAATTCATTTGGGATAGGCTCGGTTATATTTTGGTTCTCGTAGATTTTTTCTTTTTAAAATTTTCTTCAACTTGAATTTGAACTTAAATCTATGTAGTTGATGATTTATTCCACAGTCAACCCCAGGCCTGTTTTGACTGCTGTAATAGAGTGTCCTCATCAACTCTTTCCCTGATGTAGTCAGTCTGATTCCTGTCTAGTCCACCCGGTGAGGTCCATGAATATAGTAACTGTGTCTTTTAAAATTCATATTTGCAACGAATAAGTCACTTGACTGTACAGAATTCTGTCATCTCAGTCCCTAAGGCCATAGTTCTTCTGGACCTGGTAGAGGTGACAGGTAGGTGGTGTGTTTGGTGAATCCTGGACATGAGGGGTTGGGGTAAGGACTGCCAAGATAGACTTGATTCCTTTCCTTAAATAAGCCACTGGATGGTAGGCTACTCCTGTCATGCTTCCTGGCATACACTAGCTCTCACATATAGAGAACATAGAAACAAGGAAGAAAAGTTCCTCTTAAGCAGACTGTTTCCAAGGAAGGAATATCTAATGGGTAGGTTTCATTGCAGCTTTCACTCTGAGGCAGACTCAGAAGCAGGACAGGCCATCCACTTCTGACATAACAGGCCTTTGAAAACCTTGTGAATAAAAGTGGAACATTGTTGGATATAGAGATAGTTCCGGAAGATGAGACCCCTCGGATTAGAAACAGCTGCAAACATACGTTAATAATTAGAATGTAGAAAGTATAAATTTAAGAAAAATAAGATTACCAGAAATTTAAAAGAGCACATACATCGTAGTCATTAGTGAGCTGAGATAGAATGGTATTGGCCATTTTTAATCAGACAGTCATATGATCTGTCATGCCGAGAATGACAAAATGAAAAGGAATGCTGTTGCGTTCATAGTTTTTTAAAAACAAACACATTCTGAGATCTGTTCTATTAAAGTACAGTGCTTTAACAGGACACTATTACATGCATACATTGAAAACCTGTTACATGTACACCAAGCACTAAAGCCTGATGAAGACATTGAAGACTTACCAACTACAGTTGATCAAACAGATAATCAAGATGCACTAAAATAATTGACGGCTCAAGTGCAGAAGTTGTAAACGAGGAAGTACTGGTCCTAGGAAGTACTACCCTGAACTCACCTGATCTTGTCTTCTGATCTCGGAAGCTAAACAGGATTGGGCCTCACTTCTTGTTATTGTTAGGTACCATTGAGTCAAGTGCAGCTTATAGTGATCCTGTGAACAACAGATCTAAACCCTGACCTATCCTGTACCATCCTCACAATCTCTGACACATTTGAGTCCATTGCTGCAGTCATTATGGCAGTCCATCTGGTTGAGGGGCTTCCTCTCTTTCACCATCCCTCCTAGCAACATGTCCAAAGTATGTGAGACAAAGCCTTATCATCTTTGCCTCTAAGGAGCCCTCTGACTATACCTTCTCCAAGACAAGTGTAAAAGATAAACTAATTAACAAACATACCTGTTTGTTCTGGCAGTCCATTCAGTACTCCAACATTTCATCTCAAATATGTCAATTTTTCTGTCCTGCTCTCAGATGTATAACAAGTAATTGAAAAGTCCATGGCCTGAATCAGGTGCACCTTTATCTTAGTCTGGTCAAAAACAGCACAGTAAATAGAGAACTGCTTGTTGAAGCTGGATTTAAAAGAGGCTGTGGCACCAAGGATATTATTACTGATTCATGTGGAGCCTGGCTGAAAGCAAAGAATACCAGAAGAATGTCTATTTTTTGCTTTATTGAATATGCAAAGGCAATTGACTGTGTATGGCTGACATTCAGAAGAATGGGAAGCCCAGAACACTTCCTTGCGTTCATGTTACGCGTCAAGGTTTTATCTTTTCGCCATACCTGTTCAATGTGTATGCTGAGCAAATTATTCAAGAAGCTACACTCTATGAAGAGGAATGTGGTGGCATCAGGATTAGAGGAAGACTCAATAACTTTTGTTACGCACACACACAACCTTGCTTGCTGACAGTGAAGACTTAAAGCACTTGTTGGAAAAGATTAAAGAGTACAGCTTTCAATATGGAATGCATCTATCTCAACATCAAAAAGACAAAAGTTCTTACCACTGGATCCACAGGCAACCTCATGATAGATTGAGAAAAGATTGAGACTGTCAAGGACTTTGTCTTATTGGCTTTACAGTCAGCACACTATGTGCCAGGACATCAGGAGATGTGTTGCACTAGAAAAGTCAGCAATCAGGGTCCTCTCAAAAAAAGCAGTGATGTCAGTTTGCAGGAAGTATATTACTTTCCATGAATTAGGTTAGTCATTCCAGTAAATTATGGAAATAATTTAACTTAAGAACACTCACCCAGCTCTAGGTAACTAGATTCATACAAAGAATGCCACTTAATGCAATTGGAAACAGAATGGAGAAGTGGGACTATGAAAATTTTATCTGTCAACATTGTACTGGAAGGTCCAGCCAAGGAAATTAAACAAGGAAATAAAGGAAAAGGCCTCCACATTTGGGAAAGAAGTGAAACTATGTATAAAGGGCCTAATAGCACACACTCATGCATGCGTGTTTGTGTGTGTCTGTGTTCCAGAAAGATAACACTAATTAATTATTAGCAT